GTGAAGTCCCCCGAGAAAGTGGCTGAACTGGCGGGGTCATCGACATGAGGAGATTTGCTATATGTGCCGTGAATATGGAACGGGTTTAATCCACTGTTAGTATGATGAAATTACTCTTGTTATGTAGCTGTCTACTTTTGACTTCTTTTAATTAGCTATTAAAAAAACCTTGATATACTGTCAGTAAAGGACCCCGTGCCATATAAAGGCCATATGTATGGTTATCGAATTTTTTTACTCTCCTATATATAATTTGCTAAAATCTTATTGGTTTGAATTGCTTAAAATGGTTGTTAAAAATTAAAATTGTTGTAAATATTTTTAGTTTTCATTATATTAATATGATTGTCTTATGATTTGGATATAAATTTTATTATATCTATAATCTTTATAATGCAAGTAGCAATCAAAACCTAAAGAAATATAAAAATATCAGTTTATTTTTTAAAAAAGTAAGTGATAAATCATTAAATGGATGGAGAACAATAAATTTAAAACTTTTTAGCTTTTGAAAATATAGTGCCTGAAAGATTTTTTTAGTTTTTAATAAAAAATTATACATGGTTAAGAATTTAACATCACAACTCTTTAACATGATCTAGAATTATATGGGCAAATATTTGATTTTTTAGTTAATGATATCAACAATATTTGAAGAGTATATATTAATCTTGGATTATTTCAATTCCAACTAAGTGTATATTCTAATCAATTTCAAGAGTTATAACTTAATTGGTAAAGTTATAAATTAGTTTTTTAAAAATTACCAGTTTGAGTCTTATAAATTTTAAAATTATTGAAAATTTATATAATCATTAATTTTTAGATGTGTGTGATTAATTGATATATATATTACCTAAACATCTATATTAATAAAAAAAAATAAAGGTATCTATCCTAATCATGCGGATGAAGCACAATCTCTAAGGTTTCAATATAAATCATTTAAGCATATTTTTGGCTTGAGTATTCTATTGCCAAAGATATGACATTTTGTATTTGTTGCTTCCATTTTAAC